TAGTGAATGGATAATATACCAAAATATTACCTAGCTGTTTTTTCAGGAAATCCAGCTCTCCTTGTCGCAGCCATCGGTTTTTGCTATAATAGTAGGAAAACCCGAAGAACACAAAGAACCCAGACCAGATTAATCCAACAGCCGCGTATACGAAAAACGGTGCGTTCCACATTTCCGTCGCTAGGATGAAGTTGTCGTTAATTCCCTGGTAAAACGTAACAGCGAACGGTATTCCGCAGTATACTATAGAAGCCAGTCTTCCTCTCTCTTCCAGTGGTGTCCATTGGGCCAGAATCGAGTTAGTGCCGCAAAAAACGATCGCCCCACCAACACCGCTGAGAAATTGCCAGATAAACAAAACGTAGAACTCTACATCAGCACCACATAGCATCGGGGGTACCACCACTTCTATTACGCTCAGAACTATTATGGGTACCAAGACGAAATATTTTCCGCCGTGTTTATCGGACAAGACTCCGCTGGGAATGGAACTGACCATGATACCAAATGCGGGTGCCTGCTGGAGTGTTTGAGAGAACTCCTTTCCCCATCTGTAGAAATCTCCGTTCACATGCCTCACTCTGCTTATGTGTTTTTGGAATTTGCAGTCGATGCTGTAGTTGGAATTATAGTTTGGGCCCATTTCGTGAAGGTGTCTAAAGGATCTGGGAAAGGAAAAATACTTGAGGAAGTAAGCAAAATACCCGATGCTGAGTAGAATCGCTATTATATAACGATAACGAATATACCGCAAAGACTTAATTCGCTGCTTGATTCGCGAACGCGAGAGTATACCGGAATTTTGTACTGAAACGGTCGGATCTCGTGATGACATTTATACGAAAAAAACAAAAAACAAACAAATCGTGTCAGCACGACGTGCTACTCGGATCCCAAAAAACAATGAATTAGTTCCTAAATTGTTAGGACTGGCCATCATTCTTATAATCGGATGTTAGTTGCCAATATTGGAAGTCTAAAGATTGTTGTAAGTACTACGTGTGATTCTGCTCCCAGATGGAGGTAAAAAAAAAGACAACTTTCCTACAAGATACGTATTTTCGATATAGTTATCCGTTGATGAGTCCATGTAGAAAAGGAAATCAAATTATTCATAATCCAAGTATACACACCTTTTTGATGAGTACCTTTCTAAAAATTCAAAATCACTTTTATAAAAGGGAGACCATACCTACTGGTGAGCAGTAATTAAGATGTGAGCGAACAAGAGAAAAATACAATGTCTTGAGAGCAGTAATAGATAAATTTTGACAGTGTCCCGAAATAAAACCCAACATCCTAATTGCTTTAGTGAACATAAAATTATAATAGTTTTTAAAAATAAGTCTACAATCAAAGGTAACCCCCAATACTTTATTTCGACCACACGAGAAACAGAGGACCCATCAAGTTTATAATCAAAATCCACAGCTGGATCAATGTTAGAACAAAATATTATGAAACAGTTTTCTACATTTCGAGGAAATAAGTTATTGTTTGTCCAATCATACAAGGTGTCTAATTGCAAAATCGATATTTCCTTATAAAAATATAAAAATTTTCCATTTTAAACATGTTTTAAGTTTCATGTTGTGAAAAGAAGTCTACACATATTAAAACAAAAAGGTAAAATGTAAGCCTGCCCACCCGCCCTATCTCAATTGCAATGATTTTTTTTAGTCACCGTGAACTTAATTGAAAAATAATTATTTTCTTCAAACGTCAGAGAAACGGACCTTTGTATACTACCATACACATAGTAAATAGAGATGGGAAATATCGTTACTTTGGTGTAGGGGAACGAGGGGCTTGTTGTAACAGTTTTTAGGAAAACGAATATAATTTGGTATCTATTAGCTGTTTGACCATTATAAAAGTATCTATCGGTAGTCTAACTATTCCCCTATTGGACTGAACAGGCAAAAGGTCAAAATTGTTCATCTTCACTTCACACCAGGCATTTTCTTAAAAAAAGTGCATTGTTACAACTTGCCCCGTGGTTGGGGCTAGTTGTAACAGCCATGGGACAGGTAGTACCAGTAAAAATAAAGCTGATGTTGATACATATTTAGACTTTATTTTTCAAAAATCAACACAACACTTCATTATATACAATTTTTTTTCAGTAAAACTGAAATAAACTTTTAGAAAAAGAGTTAACATTAAAAATTTTAGTGTTATCTTCCTTTTTCTTAATATATCTGGAAAGCGATATATGGCATAGGTCAAAATTTTGGCTCGCTTTTCGTATGCTAGGTACGAGATTTGTAGAAGTGAATTTGGGATAAGTTGTAACATGTTACAACTTGCCCCAAAGCTATTGTTACAACATGCCCCGTAGCACAATTTTCTACATTTAATTACATTTCGACAAAATTATGTGGCTTAGCGTCAAAATGTGTAAGGAATATCAAAGTTGAGTAATTTTTGAGCTATATGCAAAACTAATAAAAGTTTTAAATTAATTACTAACTGATACGAAAAACCAAATTTTACTAAAGCAATATTTTACATTACTTGGCTAAAACGAAACACGTGCACACATCCACTTACTGCGCTGGCTTAAGGAACAGTGGTTGTGATGACATGATGTCTTATGGTGCAAGAATTAAATTCAGTAAAACACCTGACGTTAAAGAGTTTAAATTGTGGGTAAAAATTAGTGTTACAACTTACCCCTGTTACAACAAGCCCCTAGTTCCCCTACTCGTACGTATTCGTTACTTTTTAAAAAAGTAATCGTTATTTATAATCGTTACTTCGGGTATTGATTACTCAGTGAAACTCGCTTTGGTTTGGTTTTATTGCGGTATGAAAATATCTAATAATTTATGAAATGATAAAAAAAATATATTTAAATCGTAAAAAATACAAAAATAAATCAAATAATATTACATAGAATAAAAAAAAAAAACTTACTTTATAAATCTATTATTATTTTGTAACTTTAGTTACTTCATTAAATTTTTGTTAGAGAGTAATCAAGAGTTAAGCCCGAAGGCCCGAACTAACAAAAGGCCGCATTATTTTTAACTTATTCCTTTTTCTATATTCAACATTCAACTCAACTTGAAAGCGAAGTGTTAGTAAATAAAAGTAAGGGTATTTGATTTATAGATTTAGGAGGTCGGTAGTTCTCGGTATTTCGGCAATCGGTTCTCGATTCCTTAGTATTTGAGTCCAGAATGCATACTCGAAATCACGAAATGATCAGTAATCATTGACGAATAGTAACGATTACTTTTCAACTTCGGTACTCGGTAGTTCGGGTCTCATCGTGTACCGAATACTTTGTAACGAATAGTTACTACCCGTCCCACCTCTAATAGTAAAAGACGCATTTCAATGCCATATCTATAAAAATACTTTTTCTGCCGCCTTTGTTTCTGCTATCGAGATTATCACGCGTACCTTGTAAATCTTGACAGTTATCTTAAAAGCAAATACTTGGTATGGTAGAATTGATTGCAAACAGTGTTCATGGTGTGTAGTTCCTGATTGTCGGGTTGTGTGGTGATATGATGTAGTGATGCCGGGGATAGTGAGGTTATGCAAAAAGAAATGTGTTACATTTTAACTTGATTGGGACGTTTGAAGAAAAAATAGTATGTTTTATTCGGAGTAAAACTGCCTAAAAGTGCCTAGTCTGTATTGACTCGCCACGAAAAGTAACACTTTTGCTCGTAATAGAACAATATACTATTTCTTTACAAGAAATTAAAAACATATTTTTGAGGATAGTGTTGTTCAAAGAAGGCAACCCCGCCCGCCCACCCCATCTCGATTGTGATGACGTTATTTTATGAAACACGTTTAAAATAGATGGTAAATTTTTTTAAGGAAATATGGATTTTGTAATTATTCTCCGCCCTAGGTCTGCCAACGAATGAAACATTACTAACTAGAATAGGGCACGTATGGGTGGGACTTAATCTTTGGCTTTAATTTTTTCTTAATATACATAGTATTCTTTGAACAACACGATACTCAAAAACATGTATTTAATTGCTTATAGAGAAATAAGGATTTTGCAGTAAAGCTCCGTCTCTTTGGCTAACGACGAATAAAAAAATTCATCACAATTGAGATAGGGTGGGTGGGCGGGGCTTATATTTTGCTTTTATTTCTTAATATGTGTAGACTTATTTCGACAACATGAAACTTAAAACACGTCTAAAATGATAAATTTATTAAATCCCAATTTTTTTCTTGCCACATAAATTTTTCAATTCTCTGTTGAACCATCTAATAAAGAAAGATCTATTAACTTGAATACGTTTTTCGGAATATAATTACAATTACATGCCCATAAAAATAACGTAATAAAAATTCGATATTTTCTGATCTAAACTAAGGCTATTGAAAAGATTGATAGAAACAGTACCAACATGCAAATCATCAATACTAGAAAATAGAAGATCCAAAAAATATTTCTATTATTTGGAATGTGATTAATTTGAGTCAAATTCAAATAAGAATAAGATGCATTCATTATTGTTGTTATGTTTCCAATTTTCTTGGAGTATGAGAAGTAAAAGTAAAATCCGATGCTCAATAGCGAAATACTCGTTTGTTTCATCGTAACCATGTAAATGCAGACATTAACAGAATTATCGAAGACTGTCAACCAGAACACTGTTATGACGCCATAAATAAAAGACCGAACTCCAAGAACTGAATTGCTAACTGCATGGTTGAACGTAACAGCGAACTGAGTGGCACAAGAAGTACATTACTCAGTTTTCCCCTTTTTCGAACTGGGGTCCAATGGTAAGGAACGGACCGACACAAGGAGAAATCTTTCCCAAAAAGAAGAAAGTATGTAGCTTTGGGAGCAACGAGGACAGGAGTGGTACTACCGGAACATCTGAGACTAGTGTACTAAATTGTGAAAAATAGTACCAAAAATCAATAAAAATCGTACTATACTAATTTTGAAGGTTTTTGTTTTATTGAAGACTATTACAATTATCAATTTTATATGAAGAAAAACACACAAGGAAAATTGGAACTAAATTACACTTTATTTTTTGTCTTTATTTTGTGGTGTCTTTGGCTTTGGCTGTTCTGATGTACTGGGCTCATTTCCTTGAACGTTTAGTTCTTCTTCCTCATCTTTATAATTCCACGGTTGAACATCCGCACTCCCAAATAAATTGTACACGACAGTCGTGCAAGTAAGTATACCAAAGTGTATCCAGAACATGATTCTTTTCTCCGGCAACGATTGCTAAAAGTTTACTATTACAAAATGATTTACGCATTAATCTAGTCTGACATTGGGTGCTATTTTTTCTAGAACTTGTGGCAGAATTAAAGCAGGAATAAAGTCAAACATATTCATAAAACCCATGATGGTTCCACTAAAATTCGGTGCGATTTCCAGACTGTTGATTTTGGTGCCACCGAAGTAGAAACACAGGGATGACATCCCCATGATGAAAAAGGCGACCGCCACTTTCCTATGACAGCCAGTGTACGCAGCCGCGAGAAGGAATATCGCCGGTGCCATAGCCCCTACAAAGTTTCGTTTCAGCGAAAATCTCAACGATGTTTGATTTTACCGAAAGTCGTGTAGACTTTGCGCAGAGTCGTCACGTTGACGTATCCTCCATTCGTCAAATAGTCTGCCCCATATCCAACCGCCACCGTCAAGGAAGCCATCGACATGTATGCGACTGCAGCTAAGGCGTCCCCAACGTACTCGTCGAAATACAGCACATATCTTATATAGAAATCTAGGTTGCTGACCATCGCTTCCCATATCCATATGTGCCCCACATGAGCAACGGTGACAGCCCACACAGGAAGCGACGTCAACAATTTCAACCAGGGGACTGTTTTTCTTTTAAAAGTTGCTGGGGTCTCTGAAACGGACTTAGACGTATTTATGGACGATATATAAAAACATTACCTAAATGTTTCTTCAATAAATCAAATTCTTCCTGCTTCATCCACTGGTTCTTGTTATGGTAAAACGAAAACCCGAAGAATACAAAGCAGACAGTCCAGGCTATTCCCACTATGGCGTATGGCAAAAAAGGCGCGTTCCACATTTTCGTCGCTACGATGAACTTGTCAGTAAATAGGTAGTGAAACATAACAGCGAACGCTAATGAACAGAAAGCTATAGAACCCAGTTTTCCTATCTCATGCGGTGGTGTCCAGTTGACGAGAATCGAGTTAGTGCCGCAAAACATCATCGCAATACCAATACCGGTGAGCAATTGCCAGACGTAGAAAACGTAGTACTCTATGTCCTTTCCGGTTATTAGAAAAGGTATTATTACTTCCATCCCGCTCAGAACTATTACGGGTACAAGGACGACGTATTTTCCGCCAAATTTATCGGACAAAACCCCACTGGGAAGGGAACCCAACAGCACACCATATCCGTTTGCCTTCGCGAGTTGGTCAAGAGACTTGGGATCCCAGCTGTAGAAATCTTTACTCACGTGCTCCACTTTGCTTGTACGTTTTGGGAATTTGCACTCAATACTGTAGTTGGACTTAAAGTTTTCGCCTATTTCGTGAAGGTGGCTAAACGCGTCCTCAAAAGAGATAAACATGAGGAAGAAAGCAAAGTTCGAAATGCAGAGTAGAATTGCTGTGATATAACGATAAGGAATTTGCCGACAGCGCTTCCATCGCTGTTTGGGTCGCGAACTCGATGGTGCAGTGGAAATTCGACGCGAAACATTCTGACTTGGTGATGACATTTGTGCAAGAAAAAAATAAATTCGTGTCAACACGCCAAGCTACTGGGATTCTTAAAATTCAACCGAGATTAATCAGTTGGCAGGATTGAAAAGATTCAAAATCACATGGGGTTACCAGTATGAAAACTCTTTTGTAACAATATGTTAATTTTGAATGTTTCTATTTTGATAAACATTTTTGATTAAAATTAAAAGTTATACTTTATTTCGTGGTTGATGTTGAGGTAACACTTGGTTATATCTTGATGTAGAAGGGGCACTACTTGATGCCTCATACAGTTCTTCTTCCTCACCTTCGTAATTCCACGACTGAACATCCCCAGACCCAAATATACTATACACGAGATTCGCCCAAGCAATTATACCCAAGTCTATCCAGAACATCATCCTTTTCTCCGTCAACGATTTCTAAAAATTTAATATCACAAGGCGATTTATACATTAGTCTGTTCTGACTTTGGATGATACAGAGGCTGCAACTTTTGGCAGAATTAAAACAGGAATAAAGTTAAACGTATTCATAAAACCCATAACGGTTCCACTGAAATTCGGTGCAAATTCTAAAGTGTTGATTCTGGTACCACTGAAGTAGAAACTCGTCAGTGCCATCCCTATAATAAAGAAACAGACCGCCATTATCCTATGGCAACCAGAATAGGCAGCCGCCAGAAGGAACACTGCCGGTCCCATGTCACCTACAAGTTTTCTTTTCGGCTAAAATCTCATCATTGTTTGATTTTACCAAAAGTCGTGTAGAGTTTGCGCAGAGTCGTCGACTGGACGTAACCTCGATTCGTCAAATAGTCTGCAACAAATCCACTCAACGGCGTCAAACAAGTCGTCGACATATATGCAATTGCAGATAAGGCGGCGGCAGTGTGGAATTCTAAATACAGCACATATCTTAAAAAGAAATGAACATTCTTGAACATGGCTTGCCAGATCCATAGGTGCCCCATATGCATAATGGCCAGTGACCATAAAGGAAGCGACGTCAATGATTTCCTCCAGGGGACTTTTTTTGGTTAAAAGTTGTTGATTTCTCTGAAACGAGACTTCAACGTTGTAAAATGGTGAATGGATAATATATCAAAATATTACCGAGCGGTTTTTTCAGGAAATCCAGCTCTTCTTGTCGCAGCCATCGGGTTTTAGTATAATAGTAGGAAACTAGCAATAGAAGAACAAGACAACCAGAAACGAAAAAGAGAAACCTCCTTTTCACCATCACCGGAAGGTCAAAGAGTACAGAGGAAGCAGAAGAGGGTACAAGCAGGAGACATGGACGAAGTAAAGAATATGTTCAAAACGTTAATGGAGGAAATCGCAGAAATGAAAAGAGACCAAAGAGCATACCAAACAGAAGTAACAACACTAAGAGAAGAAAACCAAAGACTGACCGAAAGATTAGAAAGAGTGGAGCAACACTTAGAAAAACTGGAAAAAGCAGAAAGGAGAAACAACATCGTAATCAAATGAGGGAAACTACAAGGAAGCGAAATAACAGCAGAGGTTGAGGAACTCCTAAAAAATAAGGTAGGAATCCAAACTAAGATACAAGACGCAAGATTAGTCAGCGAAAAATACGACATAGTAGTAGCAAAGATAGAGAACTGGGACACAAAAAGAGCAATCATGAAACAGAAGAACAAATTAAAAGGATCAAAAACGTTTATTGAAAACGATTACACCAAACAAGAGAGCGAGATACAGAAGAAAATAAGAGGAATAGCAGCAGCAGAAAAAGGGAAAGGAGTCGAGGCAAAAGTAGGGTACAAAAAGATGAAGAAGTCTGACATTGGGACACTAAATTAGACAAATTAGTGAAAACACCGTCGCACCCCAAAGAAAATCCAAAAAACTAACAGAGGAAGAAACCACACACCGGAAAACAATGACGACGTATGCAAAGCTCATGGATGACCCGATAGGAATTACGAAGAGAAAGAAAAACCCGAAAATTAGAATAGGAACATGGAATGTTCGGGGAACATATAGCGAAGGAAAACTCAAACAAATAGTTCAAGAATTACAAAGGTATAATATAGATGTAGCAGCTATACAAGAGACGAAACAAAAAGGCAAATTCATCACTGAAATAGACAACTACATATTATTTAATAGCGGAATTGACAACAGAGAACTAGGAACAGGATTCATGGTGAAGAAGAGCCTGAAAGGAGCAGTAATTACCTTCAAACCAATCTCAGAAAGAATGAGCTATATAAGATTGAGAAGTAAGTACAGGAAAATAAGCCTACTGAATATACATGCACCGACTGAAGAGAAAGATCTAGAAGTAAAAACAGAATATTACGAAGAACTAGAAAGAGAATAGGTGAAAATACCAAAGCATGACATTAAAATGGTTATAGGAAACGCCAACGCAATGATAGGTAAAGAGAATTGCTACAGGCCAACAATCGGGAAAGAAAGCAAACACCAAAAAACCAATCAAAATGGAGAAAAACTGATAGAGTTTGCAGAAGAAAATAAAATGGTAGTCAAAAGCACCTTCTTTGCGCAGAAAGAGAGCTACAAAGGCACATGGATGTCGCCTGACGGAAAAACGGTCAACCAAATAGACCACATACTGGTAGAAAGGAGAGATGCCCAACTAATAACCAGATTAAGAAGCTACAGGGGAGCAGAAGCGAATTCAGACCACTTTCTAGTAAGAGCAGACCTCAAACAAGAAATACCGAAGAAAAAAGAAGGAAAGAAGACGCAACGTGATATAAATGTAAACAAACTTAAGAAAGCTGAAGTACAACAGGAATACGAACAAAAGATGAGTGAGAGAATAAGATCAACAGAGCAAGACATACCTATAGAAGAGAGGTGGGAACAACTACAAGAGAACATATGGAAGACCTCGGAAGAAGTACTAGGGTTCGTCAAAAAAGACAACAAAAATAGAAACGAATGGTTTGACGAGGAATGTAGAAAAGCAATAGAAGCGGGGAGGTCAGCCAGACAGAAATATCTAAAATCAAAAAATGAGAAGAACCAAAAAGATTACCAAGAAAAAAGGAAAGAGTACAAGAAGATATGCAGAAATAAGAAACGAGCAAAAATGGAAGAACAAATACGACAAATAGAAGAAAACTTCAACAAGACTGAAGTAAGGAACTTCTACCAGGACGTGAAAAAAGAGAAAAGAGGCTATCAACCACGAGTAATATATTGTAAAGACAAGGACGGGAACCTGATAGGAGAAGAACAAGCAAGAATAAAACGATGGGCAGAATACTTTGAAGAGCTGCTAAACGAACAGGATACACAGCAAGATACGAACGAAAGAGTGAACGACTCGGATGACAAAGATGAAACAATAGAAATTGACGAAGGAGAGATCAGAGAAACACTAAGGCAGATGAAAAACAACAAAAGTCCTGGTAGAAACGGAATAAAGGGCGAGATGCTAAAGTACGGAGGAGAAGCAGTAGCATCAGAGATACATCGGCTAGTGCTAGAATGTTGGAAGGAAGGAAAAATGCCAGAACAATGGAGTGAAGCAGTACTTTGTCCGATATTTAAAAAAGGAAATATTACGAAATGCGAAAATTATCGCGGAATAGCGCTGCTAGACGTAACGTATAAGGTAATGGCCACTTGCATCAACCGAAGACTAAAGCAACATATGGAAAAAATAGTAGGAGAATATCAAGCAGGGTTTAGGAAAAATAGATCTACTGTAGACCAGATATTTATATTGAAGCAACTACAAGAAGTACATTACGAACAGGGAATCAACTTATATCTGCTGTTCATAGACTTTAAAAAAGCCTATGACACGGTTAACAGGAAAAAACTGCTAGAAGCCATGCAAGAACTGGGAGTCCCAAGAAAACTAATAAAACTGACAAAGATGACCCTGCAGAGCACCAGAAACAGAGTGAGGATAAATGGTCTGTGGTCAGAACCATTCCAAGTAAGAACAGGACTCCGGCAAGGAGATCCAATATCAACTACCCTGTTCAATCTAGTACTCGAAGCAATAATAAGGAGAAGTGGCATCCACAGAACGAGCACGATATACGAAAAAAGACACCAAAATATAGCCTTTGCAGATGACGTGACATATATAACGAGAACAGAAGCAGAAATGAAGAAAATGACAAAAAATCTAATCAGAGAAGCGAAACGAATGGGTTTAGCGATCAACCAAGAGAAAACGAAGTTTATGAAGATGGAAAGAAAACAAACCCCAGCAAAACCACTGAAAGTAACTACAGAAGAAAGAACAACATACGAATTCGAAGAAGTAAATAGGTTCAAATATCTAGGAGTAGTAATTACAAACAAAAACGAAATGAACGAAGAGATAGAAGAACGGATCGCGAAAGCAAACGAGAGTGTAGGAAGATTAAACAGATTTCTGAGGATTAAGAATGTAACACGACGAACAAAGAAACAAGTTTATAAGACAATAGTAAGATCTACAGTCCTGTACGCTAGTGAAACATGGACGCTAACGAACGAAAAGGAACAGAAGTTGGAAGTATGGGAACGCAAGATACTACGAAAGATATATGGAGGTATAAAAGAACTAGACCAATGGAGAAGAAGAACAAACCGAGAGATCGAGGAAATATACGGAGAACCAACAATCACGAAGATAGTCAGAGCACGGAGACTAGGATGGCTAGGCCACGTCGGAAGAGCACCAGAGGAAAGCACAATTGGGAAAGTATTAGACCGCCTAAAAGGAGGAAAGAAAAAGAGAGGAAGGCCAAAACTTAAGTGGAAAGACGATGTTCGAAAAGATCTTCAAAACTTAGGCATTGAAGATTGGAGATCCAAAGCAGCCGACAGGAACAAATGGAAAATTATTGTTAAAAAAGCCCAGGGCCTTTAAGGCCTGCAGAGCTGAATTATATATTATATATAAATACACAAAATTAGCACTTTATTTCATGACTGGTGGATTGAAATTTCGCTGGATTGATGAAGTGGGCTCAATGCTTGTCACATCCACTTCTTCTTCCTCTCGCCCGTCTTCATTCCACGACTGAAGTTCCCCAGACCCAAATATACTATACATGAAATTCGTGAAAACAAGTATAGCCAAGTGTACCCAATACATGCTTCTTTTCTCCAGTATCGATTCCTAAAAATTTAATGTTACAAGACGATTTATGCATTAGTCTATTCTAACATTGGGTGCTACAATATCTTGAATTTTTGGAAGAGCTAAAGCAAGAACAATGTTAAACGTGTTCAAAACACCCATAACGGTTCCACTGAAATTGGGTGCAAGTTCCAGAGAGTTGATTCTGGCGCCACTGAAGTAGAAACCCATGAATGACATCCCTGCAATGAAGAAACTGACGGCCGTATTCCTAGCGCAGCCAGTGTAGGAAGCCGCCAGAAGGAACACTGCCGGTCCCATGGAAGCTACAAGTTTTCGTTTCGACTAAAGTCTCAACCATGTTTGATTTTACCGAAAGTCGTGTAGACTTTGCGCAAAGTCGTCAGCTGGACGTACTCTCCATTCGTCAAATAGTCTGCAATAAAACCACTTATCAATGTGAAACAACCCATCGACATGTATGCGATTGCAGTTAAGGCGGCACCAGTGTGGAAGTCGAAGTAAAGCACATATCTTAAATAGAAGTGAAGGTTCTTCATCATCACGTCCCAGATCCATCGGTGCCCCAGGTGAGCAATAACCAGTGCCCATAAAGGAAGTGACATCAATAATTGCAACCAGGGTACTTTTTTTTTTGGTTTAAAAGTTGTTACTTTCCCTGAAACCAGACTTAGTACTTATTCGGTCATAGATGTTCTATGAGTATGGTAATTTAATGGAAAAAATTAATATTGCACTCGGTACTAGATTTTCGTGGTCAAAAGATGGTGAATGGATAATATATTAAAATATTACCTAAATGTTCCTCCAGGAACTGCCGCTCTTTTTGTCGCAGCCACCGATTTTTGCTACGGTAGTACGAAAACCCGAAGAATGAAAACAAGACAGACCAGATTAATACCAATGGCGTGTATATGAAAAAAGGTGCGTTCCACATTTTCGTCGCTAGGATGACGTTCTCGCTAATTCCGTGGTGGAACGTAACAGCGAACTGTAGTCCACAGTAAGTAATAGAACCCAGTCTTCCTCTTTCTTGAGGTGGTGCCCAGTTGGCCAGAATCGAGTTGGTGCCGCTAAAAATTGCCGTACGACCAATACCGGTGAGAAACTGCCAGAAATACACAATGTAGAAATCTACATCAGCACCGCTTAGCATGAACGGTGTTACAAGATCTACCAAGCTCAAAACTATCATGGAAACCAAGATGAAATACTTTCCGCCGTAAATATCGGATAAAACTCCGCTGGGAAGGGAAGCGACCAACATACCAAATGGGGATGCCAGGTCTAGTCGTTGATGAGTTTCGCGTGTCCATGAGTAGAATTTTTCGTTCACGTGCTCCACTTTACTCACACGTTTTAGGAATTTGCATTCAGAGCTGTAATTGGGGTTATAGTTTGCGCCTATTGGGTGAAGGTGTCTGAAGGCTCTGGGAAAAGAGGCAACCGAGAGGTAGAAAATCAAACCCCCAGTTCCGAGTAAAGCCGATATTATGTAACGATAACGAATATACCCAATAGATTTAAATTGGTCCTTGATTCGCGAAAAACGTTGTACACTGGAACTTTGAACCGAAACATTTTGGTCCCGTGATGACATTTATACGAAAAAAGAAAAAACAATCAAGTAACAAGTCGAGGTATCTCTGATCTAACTGACTAATATTCTGCATTTTCTGTTCGAGGACTATATTTTGCCTTTTTGTCTTAATAAACATAAAATTCTTTGAACAACTCAAGACTTCAAAACATGTTTTTAATTTCCTGTAAAGAAATAAGTATTTTGCAGTTGATCTTCGCCCCCTTGATTTACGGCGAATGAAAAAAATCATCACAATAGAGAGATAGGGCGGGTGGGCGGGCTTAAATTTTGCCTTTTTGTTTTAATATGTGCAGACTTGTCATTTATAAAAGGCAAAATGTAGCCCCGCCCACCCACCCGGTCTTAATTCTGATGATCTTTTTTATTCGTCGTGAGCCAAGGGGGCGGAGTTTCACTGTAAAATCCTTATCTCTTTACGATAAATAACAATATAAAAACATTTTATATTTTGCCTTTGATTCTTAATATGCATGTGTATTTCCATAGAATTATTTGAACAACACGATTTTCAAAAACATTTTTTTAATTTCATGTAAGAAATAAGTATTTTGCAGTTAAGCTCCACCCCTTGGTTCACGGCGCATAAAAAAAATCATCACAACTGAGATAGGGCGGGTGGGCGGGCCTACATTTTACCCTTTTGTTTTAATATGTGTAGACTTCTTTTCACAACATGAAACTAATTGTTTCTTAATATGTGTAGACTTTTTTAGTAATCAACTTAAAATTTTCACTCTTCTTCTACAACCCCTTTAAATACGTCAAAAGTTGAACATCAACTCCGTTGGCAACTTGATAACGGAATTTATAAATGATAATTTTTAGCTCTAAGAGCAATGTTAGCGAGAACTTTTAAGTTGCTTGTTGTGGAAAGATAACTACACCTATTATTTTGTGATTTACTTGAACAGTTACTAAATCAGTATAGAAAGAAATATGTTGTATAGTGTCCCAAATACTCTAAGGTTATACATATTATAGCTGTTATAAAATTAGTGTACTGTGAAGTCGACATTGCAGTATTGTTTTTGAAATCTATATGTTACATTTGTAAATAAATAAAACCTTTCCCGAAAAATGGTTGAACTTTAGAAACTAACATAATACAAATCCATTTCTGAAGTTTCATGTTAACAGACTAATGGGGTTGTTGGTAGGTAATTCAATCTGCGTTTAATTCTTCCAGTTGTTCAGTGTCTAGTTCCATTCGTTTGTACTTTTTTAAAGCAATAAAAAATGTAGATACAAATAAGCAATCTAGATGAAATCGGATCTGTGTTGGTTGGCAAGATATCGGGACAAATCCTTGATTTATGACGGGAGACTCGTACCGGTGACCAGCCGCACAGGGAATATATTTTTCCATTATTAGGTTTACTGAGGTCATATAACCTTAGAGTATTTACGGGACTATACCTAGTCTGGACATTCAAATTTGTCTTTCTTATTGTGTTATTACTTTACTAATTAACTATTGATTAATTATTATTACTACTTACTTGGGTACAGAACTTCCCTCGCACCGAAAGTACAATGAAACATCTATGGTAGAGGACCAGTGGGCATGGCTAGTATTTGTTTAAATATTTTAAACAAATACTAGCCAACATATTTTAAACTTAGCCCCGCCCACCCACCCGTTCTCTATTTTGTTTTATAATATATATAATATATAGAAATAAATGTTATAGCAAATAAGTAGTACAACAAAAAGATCACGATTAAGGTTTTTTTTAACAGCCGACGTTCTATTAGTTCCCATTCTCACTTTACAAAAGAACATATAATTCACCCCGCCCACCCACCCGGCCTATATTTCAGTGATTCATTTAGTCTACTCCGAATAAAAAGTGGATCTCAATTGAAGAGAGATAAAATCGTTAGAATGAGAACAGTATGTGTGGGTGGGGCTAGTAGCTGCTAAGATAAGATTGATTTTGGTAAATGACGTACTTTCTAAGAAAATAAAGGGTGGGTGGGAGGGGCTAGTACCTGCTAAGATAAGACTGACAGTGTAAAACGACATACCTTCTAAGAAAAGGGAGGGCGGGTGGGCGGGGATAGTACTTGTTAAGAAAAGATTGATTTTGGCAAATCACATATCCCCTAAGAAAAAACGGGTGGGTGGGCGGGGCTAAAACTTGCTAAGATAGGACTGAACAATATTAAGAGTAGTCACTGGAACGAACAAGGGGTGGGTTGGCGGGGCTAATACTTGCTAAGACAAGACTGATTATGGCAAACGACATATCCTCTAAAAAAGTAGAGGGCGGGTGGGCGGGGCTAGTAGCTGTTAAGATAAGACCGATTTTGGTAAATTTCACGATTAACATTTTTTTTAACAGCCTACTTTCGGTTAGTTTCCATTCTCTGTTTACAAAAGCCCACCCACCCCCCCACACCCATTTCAGGGATTCATTTTGTCTAGTTCAAATGGAAAGTGGATCTCAATTGAAGAGAGATAAAATCGTTAGAATGAGAACAGTGTGTGTGTGTGGGGGAGGGGGGGGGCTAGTACTTGTTAAGATAAAACTGATTTTGGTAAATGACTGAACAGTATTAAGAGTAATCACGGGAATGAAGAGGGGGTGGGTGGGTGGGCTTATTGATTTTTATAAAAGATTCTGAACGAAAAATTTAAACTTAGCCCCGCCCACCCACCCGTTCTCTATTTTTTTTTCTTCAGACATAAGAAATAAATCATTTTTGTTATCGCAAATATAGTAGAACAAAAAAATCACGATTAACGCTTTTTTTTAACAGCCTACGTTCTATTAGTTCCCATTCTCATTTTACAAAAGAACATATAATTCAAAGGGCCTCTATTTCAGTGATTCATTTTGTCAAAGTAGTTCGAATGAAAGGTAGGTCACAATCGAAGAGATATAAAATTGTTACAGTGAGTGGACGGGGCTAGTAACTGCTAAGATAAGATAGATTTTGATAAACGACATAGTCTTTGAGAAAATACAGACTGGGTGGGCGGGGCTACTACTTGCTAAAATAAGACTGATTGTGGCAAACGACATATCCTCTAAGAAAATAGAGGGCGGGTGGGCGGGTCTAGTATTTGTTAAGATAAGACTGATTTTGGTAAATGACTGAACAATATTAAGAATAATCACTGGAAAGAAGAACGGGTGGGTGGGCGGGACTATTGCTTGCTTATGAATGTCTCTGCAGGAAAAGTTATACTTAACTATTGCTTCTTACTTGATTCATGTCTGGATTTTCTTTAGTGAGAAGTTCATTCGTTGTATCGAAAATCTTGGTAAATGAGGTTCTGTGTAGATCCAGGGTTCTTATGATCTTCTCCATGTTTTGAATATTGTCACAATCAAAGGGAAAAAGGCTATCCCTCCGGGGCCTCCAAATGGTATGAACAAGTAATGACGAGTACAGTATTTTACTAGTAGACAAAGTCCGGATCAAAGAACCTTTTTATTTGAAGTATTTTTTTTACTTTTCTTAGTTTCATAGAAATTTGCTAGTAACTATTAACCAACAGATACAGTAGATAACAGAATAAGATAAGAGAAGAAATGTACAGAAGTGTCTATTGGGCGTGCTACTAGGGATGTCGTGGTAACGCTGTTGTACTTTCCATTTCTAGTTCTTCCTCACCCTCCTCAGAATCCCACGACTGAACATCCGCAGACCCAAATATCGTAAACACGATATTTGTGGCAGCAAGCACAGCCAAATGTATCCAGAACAGCATTTTTTTCTCCTCTATCACGTTCTAAAAGTTTAATATTAAAAGACGATTTAGACATTCGCCTATACTGACAGTGGGTGCAACAATGTGTTCCATTTTCGGCAACAGTAAAATAGGTATACACTCAAACATAGTCATCAAACCAATAACGGTTCCACTGAAATTTGGTGCAAGCTCCAACGTGTTGATTCTGGTACCACTGAAGTAGAAACCCATGAAGGACATCCCTATAGCAAACATAAAAATCGCCTCTGTCCTATGGCAGCCAGTATAGGCAGCCGTTAGAAGAAAAACTGCCGGTCCCATGGCACCTACAAGTTTTTGTTTCAGCTAAAACCTCTACATTGCTTGATGTTACCGAAAGTAGTGTAGACCTTGCGCAAAGTCCTGGTATGTATGTATTTTCGATTTATCACAAAATCTGCGAAAAATCCACATATCAACGTAGAACAAGACAGAGACATATAAGCGAGACAAGTATAGCCCATGGATTTTTCGTTGCTGAAGAACAGCACGTATCTTAAGTAGAAAGGAAGGTTTGAGATCATCACGTTCCAGATCCATACGTGTCCCATATTAACGATGATTAGTGCCCATAAAGGAATCGACGTCACTATTTTCAACCAGGGTACTCGTTTTCTGTCAAAATTTGTTACGTGTTCTGAAACGAAACATTGAAGCCGTACAAATTTCAAAATCTTACGCAGTTTTTCCTGGAGATACTGCAGTTCTTTCTGATGCATCCTGTGGCTCTTACTGGAGTAGTAGGAAGACCCGTAGAACATAAAGAAGACAAACCAGATTAACCCCAAAGCACTATATATGTAAAAAGGTGTGTTCCACAAGTTCGTTGCCAGGATGAAGTTGTCGGTAATTTCGCTGTGGAACGTAACAGCGAACTGTGTTCCACAATAAGCCAAAGAACCCAATCTTCCTCTCTCTTCGACTGGTGTCCAATGTGCTAGAATCGAGTTAATGCCGCAAGCAACCATCGCAGCACCCGCACCAATAAGAAAATACCACGTGAATAATATGTAGAAGTCTGAATCGCTGCCACTTAGCATGGGGGGTGCTATCACTTCTATCACACTTATAACTAATATCGGAATCGAGACAAAATATTTTCCTCCTTTTCTGTCGGAGACCAATCCGCTGAGAAGGGGTATTATCAAGTAACCCCATACGTATGCCCTTGAGAGCTCCCTCGTGCGCGTGGAGGGCCAGTGGTAAAAATTTTCATTCACGTGCTCTATTCTGCTTACATTTCTGTCGAATCTGCAGTTAATACTATAACTGCTGTTGTAGTACGGGTGCTTTGGATGCAGGTGTCTAAAAGCTCTCATGAAGCTGACAAACATGAGGAAGTAAACAATGGTGGCGGTGCCGAGTAGGAACGCTGTTACGTAACGATAAGGAATGACGGTACATTTACATCGCGTTAAATTCAGTGGCATACTGCAAATTTCAGATGAATGTGGAGATAAACTGATGATAAACTGACATAAAACAAATTCTTGTCAACACGCTATGCCACTGCGATATTAAAAAATAATCGAGACTTGAGAACTTGTTTGAGCTACAGACCAGAGCGCGTTCAAGCAAGTGTCGACTCTAAGCGTTTGGACTACAATTTCTGCGAGAAATCGTTGTTTGATCGGATTTTAAAATGAATAAGTGAATATTTTTGGTAGACATTTACCTGGTTTTATTTACAAATATAATATGACATGTCACATGTTTCACTCAATTTTGAAATGCAACTATTTTTTTCGGAAAAAAATGATTATTTTATGTTTTGGAAAATCGAAAAATTAAAAAATTTGAAAATCTAAAAACCGAGTGTTATGTTTGTATAGAAAACGGTACGGTCTTTACAAATTGGAGTGTTCTCTAATATATTTAATTTCTGTAACTCTTTATTTTACATGACAAAAGTAAGTCTCTAAACATACTAGATATCTAACATATCTAACACCCTCTCCTGTCAGGACAACTTCAAATTCCCAACTTTCTTCACTTCTACTTTCCTACTTCGAAATCTAATAATCTTCTTGGTAAGCAACCTCTATTCCATCTTTTGGGCCTCGTTTCTGCGACTATTTGTGGAATGCTGGGTTGACTAACTACCGGCGTTGGTTCCGGACTGGTTACAATATCTTGGCTAAATGTAACATTGGTTACTTCAGAAACCTGTCTAGTTTCATTCGGAACATTATGATTATTTGAATTTGGAAACCTTGGTAACGTTCTTCCATCAGGTATACCAGGTGTAAGCATAGGTGAATTGTAGTTATCAACTTGGTTACTTGGCGGTACATTGTTTCTCGAGAACACTGTGTCGAAATGGACTTTTTGATTATCATTTAAAGGCAATTTAATAATTTGATTAATGTGACGTTTCCAGGTACGATTATCGTCTAGCTGAATCAAATAGTGTAATTTTCCTAATCTTTTAACAACTTTTCCTACACACCATCTTTGTTTTGACGTATAATTTCTACACTGTACTCTATCACCTACTGATACAGTTCTAATTTTATTATTTTTGTTAACATTACTTATTTTCGTTGGAATTGCATTTGGTAATATTAAATCAAATCTGTTTCGAATTTGTCTACCGAACAATAATTCTGAAAGACTTTTATTAGTTGTACTATGTGGTGTAATTCTGTAATGCATTAGCATTCTTTGTAGATTTACCTCATCTGTATTTTGGGAATCTATATTTAAACTAACTAGACTTTTCTTCAGACTTTGTACAAATCTTTCTACTTGTCCGTTAGTTGCAGGATTGAACGGCGCTATTCTTTTATGAATAATATTGTTACTAAAAAGGAATTTATTAAATTCATGTGAACATAATTGTGTACCATTATCACTCACAAAAACTTGGGGTATTCCAAATGTTGCAAAAATTTCTCTGCAAAATTTTATTGTACTCAGTGTTGTAATATCTGATAATATTCTTACAAATGGAAATTTTGAGTATGCGTCAATTAAAATTGCGAAATATTTATTATGGAAAGGTCCTGCGAAATCGAAATGTACTCTCTCAAATGGAGCACTAGCCGGTTCCCAAATGTGATTTTCTACTTTTTTTGGGTTATTACGAACTTGTTGACAAGCGTTACAGTTTTTAATAAGATTCTCAATATCGCGATCGATATTTGGCCACCAACAATAACTGCGAGCTAAGGCCTTCGTTTTCACGATGCCAAAATGCCCCAAATGTAATTCTTGTAACACGCGATTTCGTAGTGTCCTTGGTAAAACTACTCGGTGTCCTCGTAATAAAATATTTTGTTGTACACTAAATTCTTTTATGTCTATATTAAATAACATAGATTCTTTTAGTTCACCTTTTTGTAATTTGTTTATCACTGTACTTAATTCCTTATCCCTCACTGATTCTTTTTGTAGTTCAGCGATATTTACTGGTAACGTCTCTATCGTTTGTATTTGAAAAACATCTACTACATCAAATTGTGATTCTCGCGTATGTGATTGTGGAAGTCTGGAAAGGCAATCAGCATTTGAATGATTTTTCGTATTTCTGTATTTAATATCGTAATTAAATCCTTGTAGGAATAAGGCATAATGTTGCATTCTCATTGCGCTGTAAATTGGTAAAGGTTTGGTTGGAGAGAAAATTTGAACTAATGGTTGATGGTCTGTAATTAATATGAATTTATTTCCGTATAAGTATTGATGAAATTTTTTTATTGCAAATATTATACCGTAAGCTTCTTTATCGATTTGTGAATATTTTTTTTGTGTATCGTTTAGTGTTTGAGATGCGTACTGTATAACTCTTTCTGAACCATCTGGCTGTATTTGTGAAAGTACAGCTCCTACACCATATGAACTTGCATCTGTAGCCACTGTAAGTGGTAAATTAGAATCGTAATGTGCTAAAATTGTGTCGGATTTAAATTCTTCCTTTGCTAATAAATATGCTTCTTCACATTCTTTTGACCACGTGAATGAAACATTTTCTCGTAATAATTGATTTAAAGGGTATAAAATCGTACTTAGGTTTTTTATAAATTTTCCATAATAATTAATCATTCCAATAAAAGAACGCAATTCACTTTTATTTGCAGGTCTGGGCATTTTATCGATAGCATCAATTTTATTTTTACATTTGTGTATTCCCTTTTCATCGATCTTATATCCACAATAATTTATTTCTTTTTTAAAAAATTCACATTTATCGGTGTTAATTTTTATATTATATTTATGAAGTCTTTTTAATACTTCTTCTAATCTTTGTATATGGATCAAATCGTCAGGACCAGTAATTCTAATATCATCAAGGAAAACTGAAACTCCCGGTATGCCATTTAGGATATTTTCCATCTCCCTTTGCCAAATAGCTGGGGCACTGGCAATACCAAACAATAATCTTGTACATTGAAATAGTCCTTTGTGTGTGTTAATTGTAAGTAAATGTTGGTCTTCCGGTCTAAGTTCTAATTGTAAATAAGCTTGTTTTAAGTCAATTTTTGTGAATTTTTTACCCCCTGCCATAGTAGCAAATAATTCATCGGTTGTAGGTAATGGATGATCATCTACTATCAAATGTGGATTTAATGTAACTTTAAAGTCCCCACAAATTCTAACGGTATTATTACTTTTTAAAATCGGAACGATGGGTGTAGCCCAATCTGATGTATTAACTTTAATCAAAACCCCTTCCTCAACTAACTTATCTATTTCATTTTCTACTAACTGTTTAAGTTTAAATGGAATTGGACGAGCTTTAATATAAACTGGAACCGTATTAGATTTTAATGTTAACCTTGCTTGTATCCCTGTAATTTTTGCTAATTTTGTCTCTGTAATTGAATTGTATTTTTCTAACAAAAATTGTACTCGGGAATCTATTTCTTCCTTATGAACGTCAATTGTATGTAAGGTGTCTAATTTTAACAATTGTAATTGTCTAATCCACTCTCGACCAAGTAAAGGCATTTTATTTGTATCAGTAAGATAGATATTTAAATTATATTGTTGATTTTTGTGGTTGACAATAACATTTGCGTATCCCTCAGTCGTTACTTCAGTATTACAGAAAGTAAATAATTTTGTAACGGTACTATTAATGGTCGTATTTGGAAACATTTTTTTGAATTGTAATTTTGACATAACTGTGACAGCACTACCTGAATCAATTTCAAATTTAATCCATTTCCCACTAATATTTAAAGAAATTGTGTACTTATCTCTAAAGTGAGTATGGTCTAATTGATTTATTTCCTCCTCTGCTTCCACCTGGTGAGTTGGTACTGCACCAATTTCGTTACTATTATTTATTCGCTTAAAACAAACTTTTTGGATGTGACCAAGGGTCCCACAAAATCTGCACTTTGTATTCTTAGGTAATTGACAATTTGAAGCTAGATGGTTTCCTCCACACCTGTAATATTTAATATTGGAATTAGAATTTCGCGACGTAAACTTCGGTTGAATGGATTGTAATTTTTTTGTCTTCGTACTCTCCTCTAGTATAGAAGAAGTTCTAGACGTATTTTTCGTACCACCTTTCTTCTTTTCTCTAAGTGTAACATAGTTCATTGATGTATTTAGTATTTCTTTATTTGCATCTTTTTCTGACATTTCCATCGCATGGGCTATTTTCACTGCATCGTCAAATGTTAATTTGTCCATCTCCAATAGTCTGCAGCGAATTCTATTACTTTTTAGACCGAAAACGAACTTATTTCTTAACGCAGTTTTCAAATATTCTCCAAAATTACAGTTTATCGCTAATTTCTGAATCGCCACAACGTAATCTTGTAATGATTCTCCCTCCATTTGGTTACGCTGATGAAAACGATAATTCTCGGCAATTTCTAACGGTTTCGGTGCGTAAAATTCTTGTAGTATTTGTATTATTTCCTCAAATGATTTGTTGTACGAATCGTCAGGCGAGCATTTGTCACAAATGACATCAAATGCTTCATGTCCAATATAATGTAATAATCCCGGAGCGTAATCCACGTCTTTAACTTGAAAAAGTTTGAAATCACCTTTTAATCTTCTAATCCAATTCAGCCAATTCATTGAAGGTCGAAAAGGTTCAATATTTAAAGTAGCTTTGAAAGTATTACTTGGAGCAGTTTCATTCAACATCCTCGTCGTAGCTTCATTCGGCATCCTCGTCGCCAATATTTGTTATGTTTGTATAGAAAACGGTACGGTCTTTACAAATTGGAGTGTTCTCTAATATATTTAATTTCTGTAACTCTTTATTTTACATGACAAAAGTAAGTCTCTGAACATACTAGATATCTAACATATCTAACACCGAGAAAGAAAAAATCGACTTTTCAATTTCTCTAATACTCGATGTTTCAGTTTTTCAATTTTTGGATATTTCGATTTTTTGATTTCTCGCTTTACAGTTTTGAAATTCTTCAATTTATCCTCTTTAGGTTTTTTGACTCCCCAATTTTCCAATTTTTCAAATTTTCGATTTTTTAAATTTAGTTCTTTTTGATTTTCCGTTTTTTTAATTTTCTAATTTTTAGATTAATCAATTTTTTGATGTTTTAGTTTCGGGATTTTTCAGATTTAAGCTTCTTTAGTTTTTTTTCATTTTTCACTTTCTCGATTTTTTGGTATTTCAATTTCTCGATTTCTCGATTTTTCGATTTTTCAGTTCTTCAATATTTCTGTCTTAATTTTTCAAATTATTAAATGGTAGATTTTTCAGTTTTTTGATGTTTTTGCGTTCTTGATTTTTTATTTTTCGATTTTTAAAATTTCAGATTTTTTAGTTTTTCGATTTTTCAATTTTTCGACTTCTCTATTTATCGATATTTTTAAAATTTTAAATTTTTCATTTTTTAACTTTCGGATTTTTCCATTTTAGAATATTTTTATTTTTCGATATTTTTCGACTTCTCGACTGTTCAATTTCTCGATTTGTCGAGTTTTTTCAATTTTTGGATCTTTCGATTTTTCAATTTTCCAATTTCCCAATTTTTCGCCATTTCTGTTTTGGAATTCTTCAATTTATCGATTTTTACTTTTAAATTTTTTGTAATTTTTAGTTTTCAATTTGTCATTTTCAACTTTTCGATTCCCCGATTTTTCGACGTCTCGAATTTTCTGTTTATTCAATTTTTCGATGTTTTGATTCCGCGGTTTTCCAGTTTTTCAACTTTTCAAGTTTTAGATTTTTCGATTTTTCCTGATTTTAGTTTGGAATTTTTTAATTTCTCGATGTTCCAGTTTTTTGATTTTCCAATTTTCCAATTTTTAGATTTCTCAATTTTTTGATGTTTTAGTCTTGGGATTTTTCGGTTTTTACATACTTCAATTTTTCTCGACTGTCCAATTTTTCGATATTTCGACTTTTCGATTTCTGGATATTCCGATTTTTAGATTTTTTTTATATTTCAATTTTCCGATTTTTAAATTTTTCAGTCTTCAATTTTTCCATATTTTAATTTTTCAAATTTTTAAATTTTAAATTTTTCGATTTCTCGATTGTTCGGTTCTTCAATATCTCTATTTCATTTTTCTTATTTTTAAATTTTTGATTTTTCAGTTTTCCGATTTTTCAATTTTTCGCTTTCTCTATCGATTTTTTTCAGTTTTAAATTTTCAATTTTTCAATTTTTAACTTTTGGATTTTTCGATATTTTTCGACTCCTTGACTTTTCAATTTTTCGATGTTTCGATTTTTTGATAGTCGCTTTCGATTTTTCGACTTTCGGCTTCAAAAATAACTGAAAAATCGAAACATCGAAAAACCAAGAAATCAAAAAATCAAAAGATCGATAAATCGAGAAGTTTAAAATTTAAAAATCGAAAAACTGAAAAATCAAAAAAGTAAAAAAAGCGACACATCGAAATATGCAGAAGTCAAAAATCGAAATATTGAAAAATCCCAAAACTGAAAAATGAAAGAAAAACTGAACAATGGAAAAAGTGAAAAATCCCAAAACTGAAATGTCCAAAAGCTGAGAATCTAAAAAATCGAGAAACCGGAAAATTAAAAAAGTGAAGTCGAAAAATTGAAAAATCGGAAACTTGAAAAATCGAAAAATTGAAGAATTATAAGATGGATAATCGAAACAGTCCAAAGTCAAGAAATGGGTGAAAAATCGAAAAATTGAGAATTTAGAAAAGTCAAAAATCGAAAAATCGTAAAATTGTATAAGAGAAAAATTGAAAAAACGTAAAACTGAAACAGCGGAAAGTTGAGAATCGAGAAATTAAAAAATTGGAAAATTGTAAAATCGAAAAATCGTATAATAAATAATCCGAAAACCTAAAAATGGAGAAACTAAAAAATCTCAAAACTGAAATAAAAAATTGAAAAATTTAGAAATCAAAAACCTAAAAAATAGTAAAATTGAAGAATTGTAGAAATGAAAAATCGAAAAACTGGAGTTTATAAAAGTTAAATTTGAAAAACTGCAAAAACATAAAACTGAAACATCGGAAAATTGAAAAATGAAAGAAAAACTGAAAAATCTCAAAACTGAAATATCCAAAAACTGAGAAATTAAACAATTGAAAAATTGAGAAATCAATTCAAAAAAGTGAAATCGAAAAATCAAAACCCTAAAAATTTCGAAAATTGAAAAGTCAAAAACTTAAAAAAAATGAAGAAATGAAAAATCAAAATATTTGAAAATTATAAAATTGAAGAGCAAAAAATTGGAAAAACGTAAAATTGAAACATCAGAAAATTGAAAAATCGAAAATTGAAAATCGTGAATTTGAAAAACAGTAAAATCGAAAAATTGAATAGGTAATATAAATATAATAACCTGAAGTTTCGAAAAATTGAAAGATGAACGAAAAACTGAAAAACCCCAAAACTAAAATATCCAAAAACTGAGAAAGTAAAAAATTGAAAAATTGAGAAACCGAAAAATCAAAAAAATGAAATTGAAAGATCGAAACCTTAAAAAATGGAAAAATTGAAAAACCAAAAACCTGAAAAATCGAAAAAATAAAGAAATGAAAAACTGAAATATTTCAAAACTACAATTTCGAAAAATTGAGAATTCGAAATTTGAAAAAGCTAGAAATCGCAAAGCCGAAAAAATCTTAAAATCTAAGAGGAGAAAAATTGGAAAAACGTAAAATTGAAACATCGGAAAATTGAGAAATCAGAAACTGAAAATCGTAAAATTGAAAAATGAAAAAAAACCTGAAAAATCGAAAAAGTGAAGAATTGAAAAACTGAAAAATCGAGACATTGCAGAATCAAGAAATGGGAAAACATTAATTGAAAAATCGAAAAATTGAGAGTTTATAAAAGTCAAAAATTGAAAAAAATATTTAAAATTGTAACATTGAAAAAACGTAAAACTGAAACATCGGAAAATTGAGAAATATAAAAACTGAAAATTTGAGAGATTGAAAAATTGAGGCATTATACAATCCAAAAATTCCAAAACTAAAATTTCGAAAAATTGAGAATTCGAAAGTTGAAAAAGCTAGAAATCGCAAAGCCGAAAAAATCTCAATGTCGAGGATAAAAATTCAACGCGGATTATTGATTGTAGTAAAGTCGGATCAAGCAATTCTTTCCCGTAGAAATTATGAATCTAAAAAATCCAAAAATTGAAAAATCAGAAACCTGAAAAATCTAAAAATTGAAGAATTGAAAAACTGGAAAATCGAAACAGTCGAAAGTCAAGAAATGGAAAAATTGAGAATTTAGAAAAGTCAAAAATCGAAAAATTGAAATATTTATAAATCGTAAAATTGAAGAGGAGAAAAATTGAAAAAACGTAACTGAAACATCGGAAATCTGAAAATCGAGAACTTGAAAAATTGGGAAATTGTAAAATCGAAAAATCGAATAATAAATAATCTGAAATTTAGAAAATTTGAAAATTGAATGAAAAATTGAAGAATGAAAAAACTGAAATATCCAAATGAGAAAATAAAAAATTGAAGAATCAAAAACCGAAAAAATAGTAAAATTGAAGAATTGAAGAACTGAAAAATCTAAAAACTGGAGTTTATAAAAGTCAAATTCGATAAATTTAAGAAACAACACTGAAACAGCGGAAAATTGAAAATCGAAAAATTGAAAAATTGAGAAATTGAAAAAATCCCAAAACAAGAATTTCGAAAAATTGAAAAATGAAAGGAAAACTGAAGAATGGAAAAACTGAAAAATCTCAAAACTGAAATAGCAAAAAACTGAGAAATTAAACAATTGACAAATTGACAAATCAAAAACTCAAAAAAGTGAAGTCGAAAAAACAAAACGTTAAAAAGTTCGAAATATTTAAAAATCGTAAAATCTAAGAGGAGAAAAATTGGAAAAACGTAAAATTGAAACATCGGAAAATTGAGAAATATAAAAACTGAAAATCGAGAGATTGAAAAATTGAGGCATTATAAAACCCAAAAATGCAATAATAAACTAAAATTTCGAAAAATTGAGAATTCGAAAGTTGAAAAAGCTAGAAATCGCAAAGCCGAAAAAATCTCAATGTCGAAGATAAAAATTCACCCCGGATTATTCATTATAGTAAAGTCTGATCAAGCAATTCTTTCCCGTAGAAATTATGATCGAAACCGGTTAACCGTTTCTGAACGCTTAGAGTCGACATTGGCCTGAGTGCGCTCTGGTCTGTAGATCAAACAAGTTCCCAAGGGACTTGGGTTGGTCATGAAAATCTATTAAATTAAAATTCCCTCAATTTTTCTTATCAAGTTATATTGTTTTAAATGTAAGGTTAAGAATGTGCCAGAAATATTGTTGCGCACCCACTTTTCCTCTTTATTCTTCTTCTCCATTCTCCACTTTCCGTTGCTTCCTGACTTCCTAGCCATGAGAGTACCGACGACGTTCGGAGGCAAATCCTAGCGTTCACTTTCATGCCACAGTAGCAAGTACCCATGAAACCCATAACGAGAAGCCAAGATTACTTTCATGGTATGGAGCCCCCAGAAGTAGGAAACGAAGAATGCCGTTGATTATGTTATTGGTACTGATTTGGCTTGCTCGTCTAATGGTACAACTAGGATAATGCAACTCATGTGGATATCAGTATGAAAACCTCCGTGGAAAGCGTATTGGGTGGCTTCGTCCCAATCGTACCGGCGATGTTTAGACAGTACTTTTTTTGCTTCAAAAGTGTGAATAGTCCCTCAGCAGACTATAATTTCCTCGC